ACACACCTTTATTCAGGTAGAAGTACAAAAGCAGGTTCCTAACCCAAATGCATACATGTGATTTTTACAGATTTGCTACATAGGGATGAACCAAGCCTCTGCCTCAGTAACCACAGGTGACTATTAGTCTTTATAAGTAAGAGTATACAACTTTGATAGGGACAAAAAATGCATTTCTCATCCAGTATTGTGTATAACATCTTCCAGTACTGTGAACACTACTCGGTGACCTGATGTTTTTACATATATTAAGAGGGAAGATAGAAATCTGAATCAAGAGGAACTGAAACAAAATATTTTGTTAAATACTTGTCAAATATAGTTAAGAACTTTCTTGTTTGAGCATTTTATTCATATACACAATATATTTTATTCATACACATTTCCTACTCTCCCCTTGAATTCCTTTGCATGCCCTCCAAAATCCCCCTCCCAACTTCACGTCTTCTTTTCCATTTATAACCTGCTAAATTGGCTGGGTGGTGGTGGCACACGTCTTCAATCCCAGCACTTGGGAGAAAGAGGCAGGTGGATCTCTGAGTTCAAGGTCAGCCTGGTTTACAGAGTGAGTTCCAGGACAGCCAATGCTACACAAACACTCACACACATTAAACAAAAATTTAAAGATTCTGCCTCCCTTCCTTGTTTTGTTCATATGGCCCATGAGTCACCATACTGTTTTTCTGACCTATGCTGATCCACATGCACCTCCACACCCCTGTCTTAATCATGTGTTTGCAACATTGAGCTGATAAGCCAGAGTCTCAGAGCTATGGTTGCCTCACGGCTTAACCATAGCAGGAAGTTCAGCAAGCCGCCCAGGGAAATGGAAGTTTTTGTCCTCCCAACCCTTCCACTTCACAATGCTGTTGATGCTGTAAAGCTGGCGTGGCACATTACATTAAATGATATGAATTTGGGCTGGAGAGAAGGCTCGTGGGTAAAGAGTGCTTACACCCACCGCTCAGTGTAGCTCTTGCCCCCATCAAAGCAGCTTTTTCTGCAGCAGATGGATGCTGTTACAGAGATCCAAAATGTCAAAATGAAGAGTAAGTGACCATAGGACACACAACCCTAGCTGGTTTTATATTGTATATTTATATCACATTTATAATGTGACCTCTATACCTAAGACTTCGGAAGCATCACAGAAAAAGAGGCAGAAAGACTGTAAGAGCCAGAGGACCAGGACAACTGATGCTACATAGTGTCTTCTAGACATGACAGGGATGCTGCACCCGTGAAAACCCAACCATGAGGCTGTCAGAACAAGACCCCAATAATGACAAGGCCAGCTAACAGCCATTGTGGGGGAATTGAACAAGGCCTCACTCCTAGATGAAGAGCTGCAGGCAATCAATGGCTGCTCACAGGGGGAGAAATAGTCTTCTCCAAGGTTGAGCTCTCTGTTTCCTCATCCAATCCAAAGTGGAGAGTCCTAAATATATAACAAACCAGCAATTCTAAATGGACTCACTACTCAATAGGATGTGTGTGTGTGTGTGTGTGTGTGTGTGTGTGTGTGTGTGTATGATGATTATAGAGGAACAGGTCATGAACTCGAGAGGGAGTTGGGGAGGACATAGAAAGAGTTGGAGGTACTTTGATTGTGTGACATGGGGGTCCTTGGGAGACCTGTGTAAGGTCTCGAAGAAGATCCTACCTTCTGTGTTGAAGGGAGAGCTAGGTCAAGATGTGTCTGCTCTTGCAGAAAGGGTGTTTATATCAGGAATGTATACATGAGGCCCTGATTCTGTCCACAGGTTGAGCCATATGTACAGAATCTAGACTGTTTTCTTAGGTTCTGTAATTTTTATAGCCTATTTTTGAAGACAACCACATTTGTAAGATGATTGACTTGATCTTTGCCTAAATCCACTGAGTGTACAGACAGGAGGCTCTCAGAGATGATAGATGTAAATCTTGAGAGGGGAGATTATATAAAATAGAGGGGAAATTAAGCCTGTATTAAAAAATCCCCAAATCCATTAGAGAACAATGTCTGTGTAGTGCCAAAATTTGGGGGGGGGCTTTCAGATTTCTCTAGTTACATTTTCTGCATGCATAAAAGTTCCAGTTTTTTTTATTTGTTTTTAAACAGCTCTTCGTACTGCACAGTGTGTTCTTGTCATCAGTATTAACTCTTGGGATACTACTAACTTTGTGTATCTTCCCTTTGAGGCAACAGTGCATGTGGTAGAGGTACCATTTGGTGGATTTTTGTTAATGTATTTATTTCATTCCAGTTTGATTTATTTTAATTGTTGATATGGAAGTTATCAGACTATAGACATGCTTTATTTATGATATATTTCAGCTTAAAGTTATGTTATTATGTGTGGATGAAAATATAGATTTGGTGTTTGACCAAGGAAAAGAAAGAGTTGGAGGTTAAAAGATGGGGTGGAAATGATGTGAATACAGCGGTCTTGTATAAAATTTGCAAAAACCAAAAAAGCGAAAAACATATGCACATGTGAATATTAAAGCAAATAAAATATTTTAAAAAATTATCCAACTATAAGTTATTCTTAGATATTTCATACATGCATATAATGAATTTTGGTCATTTCTCCGTCTAATTAATCTCTTTCACCTCTCCTGCTAATCCTCTTCTTCCTCTGTGGCCAGTTCCCACTTCCATGGCTGTTTTGTGTGTGTGACTCACTGAGTTTAGTTAGAGTTTCTTGCCAGAGTCTGGGTGGAATGATATTTACTGGAGCATGGGCAACAGGCTCATTACTACAGCACTGAGAAATATCTCTTCCACCTTCAGCCACCTTTAACCTCAGGGAATTGTGGGACTTCCTGAGACATACTCCCCATGGTGGAATGTGGATGGGCCCAGTAAGGCTTTCTTCAGGTATCCACAATTGCTGTGAGTTCATGGATGCAATAGCTATGTCATGTCAGGAATACAGGGTTCCTTAGTGTTCCCCTCCATTCTCTGGCTTTTACATCTTTATTCTCCTCCTTTTTGATGTTCCTCGAGTCTTAGAGGTTGATGCAGATGCCCAACTTAGAGTCAATAGGTTCTTTCCCTTAATGGTCCTACTGCTTCTTAACATTGGGCTATTAGGAGCCAGGTTTCCCACACATAGGCTCTTGAAGGAACAAATCATAGTCCAACTGTGGCATTCTGCCCATGGCCTTCATAGTCATGGTGATATCAGAACATGAATGCATTCATTTCATGACAACAGTGCCACGTCTTGTCTAATTAAAACATCACTCAGAAGTCTAAGTTCAAAGTCTCCTCTGAGGCTCAGAGCAAACAGCTTGGCAGTCAGTCTGAAAACTGAAAAACAAGTTGTATACTTTAAGGTACACTGAGAGGGCTGGGAAAACCTACCCAGGCAAACATCAAATTGCACAGGGTCACAAGGCCATGGACAGCTCTACCTCAGTGCCATTGCTTGTCAGAGGCTCTACAGTTGCCTACTTGAGTTGGCTTCCTGCACTGACTGCAGCTGTCCTAGATGGGTATACCTCACTACAGGTTGCTCTGTCTCCTCTTGGGCACCACTTTCAGCTTCATTTGTATACCTCTAGCAGGCTCTTTAGGGCTCCAATTCTGCAGCAAACATCTGTCTGACCTCCCAGGCTTCCCTTGGAAATGTTGGTGGAGGCCCTACAACTCCACTGCTCTTCATCCTGTGAGTCTGAGGATCAAACACCGTGTAGATGCCTCACATCAACTATGCTTAAGCCAATATGAACCATGGTTGTAACTGAGGATTGAATAGCTGGGAAGCAGAAATCTCAATCTCAAGGTGTCCCTTGGGTAAGACAGGAGGCCAGAGCTCTGGGTCTTCCTAGGGTGACTTGACTTTAGGCTCTACCTCATTCAAGGTCTCTTAATGTCATCAGATTTGGGACAAGGCTTCCAATAACCTACTCTCAGAGGACAAAGCACAAACAAATCACAGCATTTAAAATTTCAATGTAATATATATATATATATATATATATAATTTATTTTTTCCTAGAAAATGCTCTAAAGACTGTAAGTGCACATGAAAGCCATGCCCCTCACTTCACAATAAGAGTACCTGGTACTAAGAGACATGAAGGTGAGGAAGTATGTTTTGCAGACTTTCCCAGAATGAGGACCTGTATGCTGTCTGAGCTCAGAGAATGGATTCTAAACATCAACACATCTACCTCCCTCCTTACTCTTTCTTTGAGACACGGTATCATTCTGTAGTCTTGGCTGGCCTGGAACTTACTGTGTAGAGCAGGTTGGCCCTGAATTCACAGAGATCTGTGTACCCCTGCCTCCTGAATGCTGAGAATACAGACATGTGCAAACAAACCTGGGCTTTCTTCCCTTTCTTAAGAGTTGATCCCTAGGGTACTACATCTGTCTGTCTGTCTGTCTGTCTGTCTGTCTGTCTGTCTGTCTATCTGTCAATTTATCTATCCATCCATTCATTCATTTATTTTTATCTATCTATCACCTATCTATATCCATGTGAAATTCTTTTTATGTATTTATAGTATTTTAATATTTAAAATTAAATTTATTCATTTATTTTACATCCCGACTGCAGGTATCGCTCCCTCCTCTCCTCCCATCTCACCCCCCACATCCCCTGTGTCACCTTTGCCCAATCTCGTCCCCCTCTGTTTCTGTTCAGAAAGAGACAGGCCTCCCATGGGTGTCAACAAAGCATGGAGTATCAAGTTGAAGTAGGATTAAGTTCTTCCCCTTGCATTAAGGCTTTGTTAGGCAACTTTGTATGAGGGATAGGTTCCCAAAAGCCTGCCAAAGCATCAGGGACAGGCCTGGCTCCCACTGCTAGGAGTCTCACAAGTAGAACAAGCTACACAACTGTAACACATATGTAGAGGGCTTAGATCAGTCCCATGCAGGCTCCTTAGCTGTTAGTCCAGTATCTGTGAGCTCCTATGAGGCCAGCTTGGTTGTTTCTGTGGGTTTTCTAGTGATAGTCTTGACCTCGCTGGTTTGTACAATCCCTCCTCCCTCTCTTTGACAGGATTCCCAGGACTTGGTCCAGTACTTCGCTGTGAATCTCTGCATCTGATTCCATCAGTTACTGGAGGAAGGCTCTCTGATGACGATTGTGGTAGTCACCAATCTGATTACAGGAGATGGTCAGTTCAGGCTACCTATCCACCATTACTAGGGTCATCCTTGCTTAGCTGGGTTCATCCTTGTAGATTCATAGGGGTCTCATTTGCACCAGGTTTCTACATGACATGTGGATTTCCCACCCCACCTGCACCAAGACATCTTTTTCATTACTCTCCCTTTCTAACTTACCCACAATCCAATCCCTCATTTTTCCATTCCCACCACACCCCATTTACCCATGAGATCTCTTCTAGTTCTCCTTTCCAGGGAAATCCATTAGTTCCCCTTTGGGCAATCCCTTTCTAGGTGTGTGGATTGTTTTATGGTTATCCTTTACTTTACAGCTAGTATCCACTTATAAGTGAGTACATACCATTTTTGTCATTCTAGGTCTTGGTTACCTTACTTGGGATGATTTTTTTTCCAGTTCTATCTATTTGCCTTCAAATTTTCTGATGTCATATTGTTAGCAGGTGAGTAATACTCCACTGAGTAAATATACCACATTTTAATTATCCACTCTTTGGTTGGGGGACATCTAGATTGTTTCCAGATTTTGACTATTACTAATAATGTTGCTCTGAACATAGTTGGGCAAGTGTCCTTGTGGTGTGATTGAGCATCCTTTGGGATATATGCCCAAGAGTTGTATAGCTGGGCCTTGAGGGAGATTGACTCCCAATTTCTGAGAAACAGACATAATGATTTCCAAAGTGGCTTTACAAGTTTGCACTCCCACCAGCAATGGAGGAGTAGTCCCCTGACTCCACATCCTCTCCACTTGTGTTTTTGATCTTAGCCATTCTGACAGGTGTAAGATAGAATCTCAGAGTCATTTTGATTTTCATTCACCTAATGCCTAAGTATATTGAACAATTCTTTAAGTGTCTTTTGACCATTTGAGATCTTTTGTTGAGGTCTCAAATTCTCTGTTTATATCTATACCCCATTTTAAAAATTGGATTGTTTGGTTTTTTGATGTCTAGTTTTTTGAGTTCTTTATATATTTTGGGGATCAGACCTCCTTCAGATGGGGGTTGATGAAGATCCTTTCCCATTCCATAGGCTGCAATTTTGTCTTATTGATTGTCCTTTGCTTTAAAGAAGCTTTTCAGTTTCAGAAGGTCCCATTTATTCATTGTTGATCTCAGTGTCAGTGCGTATGTGCAGGAAGTTGTCACTTGTGCTGATGTGTTCAAGGCAACCCCCAATTTCTCTTCTATCAGGTTCAGTGTAACTGGATTTATATTGAGGTCTTTGATCCACTTGGACTTGAGTTTTATGTATCAGGGTGATACATATGGATCTATTTGCATTCTTCTACATGCTGACATCCAGTTATGTCAGCACCTTTTGTTGAAGATGCCTTCTTTTTTCCCATTGTAAATTTTTTGATTCTTTGTTAAAAATAGGTGTTTATGAGTGTGTGGAATTATGTCAGGTTCTTCATTTCTATTAACCCACATGTTTGTTTTTATGCCAATACTATACTGTTTTTTTTATTACTATAGCTCTGTAGTAGAGTTTGAAATTAGGGATGGTGATACCTCCAGAAGTTCCTTTATTTTACAGGATTATTTTAGCTATCCTGTTTTTTTGTTTTGTTTTTGTCATATGAAATTGAGTATTGTTTTTTCGAGGTCTGTAAGGAATCGCGTTGCAATTTTTATGGGGGTTGCATTGAATGTGTAGATTGCTTTTGGTAAGATGTCCAATTTTACTATGTTAATCCTACTGATCCATGAGCATGGGATATTTTTCCATCTTCTGATATCTTATCCAGTTTTTTTCCTTCAAAGACTTAAAATTCTTGTCATACAGTTTTTTCACTTGCTTAGTTAGAGTTACCCTAGATATTTTACATTACTTGTGACTATTGTGAATGGTTTTGTTTCCCATTTATCATTTATAAATAGGAGGGTACTGATTTTTTGAGTTGATTTCATATCCAGCCACATAGCTGAAGGTGTTTATCAGCTGTAGGAGTATCCTGGTGAAATTTTTGGGTCACTTATGTATATTATCATAACATCTGCAAATAGTGATACTTTGCTTCCTTTTTCCAATTGGCATCCCCTTGAACTTTTGTTGTCTTATTTCCCCTCCTTTTCCTCACCTACTCCTTTTCTATTAAAAAATAAAGCACACTGAAGGCAGAGGTAGATGGATCTCTGAGTTCAAGGTCAGCCTGGCCGACTGATTGAATTCCAGGACAGCCAGAGCTACAGAGAGAAACCCTGTCTCAAATAAACAAAAGAAAAGAAAACAAAACGTGGATGACCATTTCACTTGCCTGTATGTAAGTGCATCATGTATGTGCCCAGTACTAGAAGATGTCAGAAGGGGAATTGGGTCCCCTGGAACAGGAGTTACATAGGGTTGTGAGCAAACACTGTGGGTTCTGGGAACTACTTCAGGTCCTCTCCAAGAAGGGTTAGTGCTCTTAACTGCTGAGCCATCTCTTCATATTTGTTATTTCTTTTTCTGATGAAGAAAATCTATTAGGCAATCTGATGTTACTGTATAACTTTGTTCTCTCTGAATTACTAGTTGAACTCATCCCACTAGGGTTAAGTGTCATGCAGGTTCACTTCTTCCTAGTAAAAAGTGGTATGGCCAGGTTCGTGGATCTAGCTCCCAAGCCCTTGACAAGCCATAGGCCAGGGTTTAACACCTTTAGAAGGGAAAGTTGTAAACATTATAGCATCCATGTCCTAATTAGATCCCTAAGCATGAGGAAGTTTGCATCACACAAGGGTCTTCCTGTCAATCACATTCCAGGATTTCAAAACACCAGCTGTCCATAGAGCATATAACAGCTGTCTTCAGAGCCCACAGGAAGTCCAGGAGCCACCTACACCAGAATTCCAACCCCACTTCCTTTGTGTTCTTGTGACTATGATACAATACCTGCGAAGAGCAACTTAAGAAAGAAGGGTTCATTCTAGCTCACACTTCAAAATTACAGTTCATTGTGGTGGAGAAGACAGTGTCAGGAGCATGAGGCAGCTCTTCGAGAAGGGGGAAGGAAGGAGAAAAAGAGAGAGAGAGAGAGAGAGAGAGAGAGAGAGAGAGAGTTCAGGACCCCAGTCCATGGGATGATGTCATCTATGGTTGAGATGGGGCTTCCTACCTCACTTAGCAGAATCTAGAAACTCCCTCACAGGCATGCTGAGGTTTGCTTCCATGCCCATTAGATTGGCCATCAAGATGAATCACCATCATCTCTGTCTATCTCTGGCATATCTTCTGTTCATCAAGTAGACAGACATGGTTGTTGTACCATACTGTAAATGTATTAACTTTTGCAGCCAGAAGAAAGCATGCTTAGTTAGCTTTCTTATCCATCCCAGGACCATCAACCTAGGGAAAGATGCTTCCCAAAACTGGTTGAACATTTCTACATAAATTAATAATCAGGACAATTCTCCCAAGATGAGCCCAGAGGCCTCTGTGATCTAAGCAATCCCTTTACTGAGATTCCTTCCTCAGGTGACTCTGGGCTTTGACAAATGGACACTTAAAGCTACATGGGACTGCTATATTATAGCATAATTTTGACATATAAAAATGGTTTGAGTGGTAATGTGGCTTAGTGGTAAAGACAACTGATGACAAACCCAAGGTTTTATCTATCCCTGGGGATCACATGGTGAAGGTCAAGAACTAACTCCTCAGCCTTGTCTTCTGACCACAGCACACACACACCATGGCATGACCCTCCAAATCGCAAGGAAATGTAATTAAAAGAAGCTATGAGAAGTGATTGATGTTGCCTGACTTTCTGTGGCTTTTTATTTCTGTTTGCTAATTTTCAAGAGAGCCCTTGTCTCAATTCTGGTCTAGAGGTCTCACTCATAAACTCAATTCTTCCTGGGTAAATGAGCTTTTGGATGCACTCAATTCCCCTGTTCCCTGCTGCCCTGATTTAGTTGAGTTCAAGTGGAATAGGGAGATAGAAAAAAATATTTATTTTCTTGCGTGATTTTCAGACTTTGCCTCCTGATTACTTTGTGATCACAAGTTGGACTTGTGAAATGAAGACAAGTTTTGACAACAAAAACTCAATTGAGAGCTTTTATTTTAAAATGGTGTGTCATTTTTGAAATAATTCATTGTGGGAGATGTCTGGAAAAAATGGATGAGCCAATGGTGAGCTTGTCCAACTTTTTGGAATTGTAAGACAAAATTGTCATATACAAAGTTGATGTTCTAGGACCACACATTGAGTTAAAAACTGAGAAATTGGATTTCCCCTAAGCCCATAAATTTATAATATTTTAAGTAAGTTCATGGTGTTATGTTGTGCTGAATTCAGAGTTTTACCCCAGGCTGCATGTGCCTTGTTTGCTGTGAGTTCACCTACCTGCAGTGGTCAACCCTAAAGTGATGTACACACAAACAACACTAAAAGAACTTAGCAGGATGAAGTCATGAAGCTGAGAGGGTGTGTGGCAATGGCAGGAGTTGAAGGGTAGAGATAGCAGGATGGAAATGTTTTAAAGAAACTACTCGCATATAAAATGTTTTTAAAAAGCAAAAAAGAATGTTTTTTTAAAATTTTTGTTAGATTGATGAAATGTAACAGCTTAGTTTTTGTACACAAATGATTGTTCACTATTATATATTTATAGAACTTCTGTGAAGAAAGGCCTTTTTCATTTTTTATACTCATTTTGAGTGTGTGTGTGTGTGTGTGTGTGTGTGCTCCTACATGAAAGGAACATACATTTGTTATGTATGTGCATACATAAAAAAGGTACATACACTTTGTTTTCCTCTTTTGTGTGTTTGATTTACAGCAAGCTAGAGAATGTTCTGAGCATGGTGCCCTCCTGATGAAGTCTCTGAGTTGATGTGGCATTGTGGAATTTCTTGGCTTTTATCCTAAAACACAGATTCAGTAACAATCACCTTGGGTAAATTCCCGAGCTGTACGTTTCTATTTCTGTAACATGGGGATTAGATTTGTTTTTCAGTTTTTATTTGAATTAGAAACAAGATTGTTTTACATGTCAATCCCAGTTCCCTCTCTCTCCCCACCTTCCCTACTACTCCCCCAACTAAAACCCTGTGTATCACATACACCTTCTGCTCCCCCAGGGCGGGGGATGCCTTCCATAGGGGGTCTTCAGAGTCTGTCATATCCTTTGGGACAGGGCCTAGGCCCACTCCTGTGTGTCTTGGCTCAGGGAGTATCCCTCTATGTGGAATGGGCTCCCAAAGTCCACACCTATGCTGGGAATAAGTACTGATCTATTACAGGATGCCCCATGGATTTCCAAGGTCTCCTCACTGAAATCCACTTTCCTGGGGTCTAGATCAATCCCTTGCTGGTTTCCCAGCTATCAGTCTTAGGACCAAGAGCTCCCCGTTGTTCAGGTCAGCTGTTTCTGTGGGTTTCACCAGCCTGCTCTGGACCCCTGAGCAAAGGGGATTAGATATTTAAGAAAATTTATGTGTATGGGTTTTT